TTATTCGTGTTTCATCGACTTACATGGTTAACTTTATTATTGCTGTTCACGTAATTTAGGTATTGTTAATACATTCCATATATAATTAGAGTGAAAATTATTATGACAAGGACAATTAATTACGTTAATTATATGAATTTGATCAAATATTTTTTATATTTTTATTTCCGATATTTACACTTTATTGTATACTTTTCAGTTTCACGAAGAAGTGAGTTCCATGTTAGAAATTTGTAAATATGTTCTACCTTTTGATTAAAAAATAACTCTTCAAATAACGAGATTGAATTTAAAACTGATAACTGAAAAAAACTCTTTCTATTTCTACTTACTGAAAATTATTATGATAACACTTTAAATATTAAAATTACATTCAAATCCTCAAGCGTTTTCATACTGACTGAGGCAGCTTGAAGAAGCTACTGAATGGCTAAACACGTTTTGTAAACTGTTGAGTGAAAATTTCACAATGAAGTGTTGCATGAATGAATGCATGTCAAACTGAAGTAGAATTGTGTTAGTCTAAGAGCCAGTGAGCGGCTACCTGCATGTATTTGACCAGACTTAGGTTTTTGTACATTGAGGCTCGTATATCTACCGTACATGATATGGGACCTCACTAAGCCCAAAGTGGTGGACGCGGTGAGTGCGCAGGTAGGACAGGTATCAATTTTTTAGTAATTTTAAATGCATTTGACGACGTTTGCCGTTTTGATATTTTGAAATATATTATTATTGTGAGCGGAAAATAATAATGGCTGAACATTACCTCGCGGTCAACATTGTGGCAGACATATTTGAAAATGTTAAAAATAAATGTTTTTCAAAGTAATTGACGAGATCTGCCATTGATACATTTCACATATCATGGTTTCAAAAACTTATATTAATTAGGGCAGAAGTATTCAGTGCGTACAAGCATCAGAAAATAACAAAATCTGAGACACTACCCGGTCAGATGTCTATGTATTACGATAACTGTTTTACATCAAAATGATGTATTTATGATTTACTTAATTACTGCATTTATTGAAATTAAAATTTTTTATGTAGTTCCTACAATATTTAAAAATTTTGACGATAAAAAAAGACGATAAAATACGGAAAAATTTTAAATATCAAGGTATGTTTAGGTAACATACATATTTATANCTCAGATTTTGTTATTTTCTGATGCTTGTACGCACTGAATACTTCTGCCCTAATCAATATAAGTTTTTGAAACTATAATAAGTGAAATGTATCAATGGCAGATCTCGTCAATTACTTTGAAAAACATTTATTTTTAACATTTTAAAATATGTCTGCCACAATGTTGAACGCGAGGTAATGTTCAGCCATTATTATTTTCCGCTCACAATAATAATATATTACAAAATATCAAAACGGCAAACGTCGTCAAATGCATTTAAAATTACTAAAAAATTGATACCTGTCCTACCTGCGCACTCACCGCGTCCACCACTTTGGGCTTAGTGAGGTCCCATATCATGTGCGGTAGGTATTGGGGCCTCAATGTACAAAAACCTAAGTCTGGTCAAATACATGCAGGTAGCCGCTCACTGGCTCTTAGACTATGTGTGTTGGTAATGGAAAATACTCACTTGGAAAATGTGTGAAAACCGCTGTGGCTCCTGAGGTGATACCCTCCAATCTGGATTTCTCAAAATACATCTTTTTACTTTTCGAATTGTCATCTCTTTCTTCTAAGACATACAACAGCGGTGACTTCTCTTCTGTGCTAATTTTTGACATTTTTTATCACATCCTGGAAAACATTTCCAAATTAATTATTCATTATCATGGTCACCAGGCTATCTTACAATGCTGCATGTAGCACGAATGATTACTTTTATTTATTTGATTTGTATCATGTAAAACCATCACCGAAAAAAAAGTTATTTTGACATCTACAGATATTCCACTCAATGACATAATTTATTTTGTTTATTATACAGGGTGGCTCAAAATTCTAATTCAGGTCAATAATGTGGTCCTCCAAATAAATAGGGAGAAAGTATTAAAGTATTGAAGGTATACATTACCCTTCTTAATGCTTTTTGACTGTTTAATCTTCCATGATGTGGAAAATGAACAAAGTTAAAGCAGTAAAGGATTTGCTGAAGTGTAATAATGGGAGAATCGAAAAGGATTATTTTCCGAAACATCAACCATATGAAGAAAGCTAAGTGTGGAAATTTCTTTTTTTTCCTCGAATGTGTAGCCAAAATACGACAAGTCACTGACTAACTGAACTTACAAATATATCACACAGTCACTTTTCGGGGTAACCTGTTTAGTTTAGCCTTCATTACACTTCAGCAGATTCTCTATAGCTTTAACTGTTTATTTTCAGATTGTTGAAGGTTTCTTGCCCCAGAAACAGTAAGAAGCACTGACTTCTCCACAAAATGTCAATTTTCAGTAAAATACGAGGTCTGTTAAAAAAATAAGGTGAATTTTCAAATTTCGCTGGCTAAGTACATTCAATTATTGATTTTTTACACTCGTCTCGAATATATGTTCACAGTTTCAGCTGTTTAGAATATTTTTTTTGTTGGTGAGATGCATGAAAGTTTTTTGCGTGTTCGGCGATTTTCTGCTATCGAAAAAAGTGGATCATAGATTTTGCGTCAAATTTTGAGTGAACAATGGAATATAGTGCTCAAAAACACTTGAAATGATACGGTAATTGTACTCTGAGTCAGAAAAATTTTTACAAGTAGTACAAACTTTTCACAGAAGGTCGAGAAGATGTGAATGACGAAGCTCGCCCTGGACGCCCCAGAACATCAACAACAGATGAAAATGTTGAGAAAGTTAAGACATTTTTTATGAAGAATCGTCGAGTCACTATTAGAGAAGTTGCTGAGGATGTCGGCATATCGGTCGGCTCATGATATGCATTTTTTTCGGAAATTTTGGTCATGAAGCGTGTCACAGCAAAGTTTATTACAAATTACTGAATTTTGATCAGGAAAACCGTCGCATGAACATCTCTCAAGAATTGTTGAATGACTTAAATGGCAATCCAGATTTGCTTTAAAGGGTTATAACTGGCGAAAAATCATGGGTATATATGGTCATGACATTGAAACCAAAGTCCTATCGTTCCAATGAGAGTCAATACCAAAGTTTTGCTGGTCAATAAGGAGTATTATCTTTGAGTTATGCACCGCTTGCCAGAAGCAATACGAGGAAAACATCACGATAATGCACTTGCTCAATAGTCATTGCTTGTTCGTAATCATGCATCAGCCACCGTATTCACCAGATTTGAATCCTTCTCTTCCTGTTCTCAAAATCGAAGAAACCCATGAAAATACGGCGTTTTGCGATGATTGGGGGGATGAAAACAGATTCTCCGAGAGATCTCAAGGATATACCAAAAAAAGGATATCAGAACTGCTTCGAAGGTTGGAATAAACGCTTGAACAAGTGTAATGTATTTCAGAGGGACTACTTCGAAGGGGACAAAATTGTTTCAACTCTTGTCCTTCTGCTAAAAAGTGGTTTGGAAACCATTTATATGCTCTTTAAATCTTTGGGAAAATGTTCTCCCTGTTTGGCCACTATACTGTTTTGAGCAACAGCCACAAGTCAGTTTTTATACCTACTCCTGGTCTATCCGACACCGGAGTTTTGTCTTGTTTTTAATAAATTCACTTACACTATTATTCGTTCTGTAAGCTACGTTTACATATTCTTTCTTTAAAAAACGGGCAATATTATTGGTTGGTTCAATATGACAATGTCCTATAACTGACGTTACCGCATCTTGAATTTGGGTAGACCTGGTCCATAGCTTGCTTTTGTAGTTTTTTTGGAAAGAATGGAGTCTATAATATCTACCTTATAACCGTTGTTGATCACGATTTGTTTGTTCAAACTCAGCTCTTTCTGGAAATTACTCTCAGACAATGGAATATTCAATAGTCTATGAAGCATACTATTTAGTTATCAGTGTGCGTTGGAACAGCAGCGGGCGAATTTCAATCGACTAAATTATTTACTCACCGAAATTCAAAAGTTGACAGTGTGCGCCTAGCCTTAAATAATCAAATCTTGACTTACCTGTTGATAACGAAACTATCAGAAACTATCTTCTTTGTTGACACACAGCGAATCACAACTTTTTTCTTGAGCAGATTTCTGCCTTGAATTTTCGTGACTCATTCGTAAACAAAAGAAACAAAACAAATAATAATTTCGTCCTAACAGTAAATATTTTGAAAACTTTCCATTGAACATAACATTCATGAATGTTTGGATTTTGAGTTGGTTATTTTGATGATTTGATTCACATATATTATTGATGGTAGTAGTTTTATAACGGGACAACATTATGAAGGGTTCATTTTGTATAATTATGTGAAATAAGGCAAATTTAAATCGAACTTTTGGGGAACATATTTACGTGATTGGGAGATAAAGTGAATAACCAGCTATCGTCTCCTTACGAATCCTGGCAGTCTAAACTTCTTCGACCTGAAGACTGACGAGGTCTTTCCTATTAATGTGCACTTTTTATAACGGCAAGGGTCATCGTCGTGGCCCTGGAGTGTTTATTTCTGGCAAATCAACTTTCTTACAGAACTAAAGTATTAATGTGTGTAGGAAGTTGTCCTTAACAAATTTTTCTCAATTAGTTTTATAAAAAATATCATAGTAGAACTACCATATCTGATTTTTAGCATATCTTGCAAGCCTTCTGCCTGAAAATGGTGTTTTTTTGTATAATTTTTGTTAAGTCTTTAGCTGAAACAAACCATGGAGTCTCGCGATTTTTGTACTTTCAAAAGTACCATGTCGATAGGAGAACCTGTGCCCAACAATGCATTCGTGGTTCAGCCTGGCACCACTAACGAGACCTATGATCTATGGCGGGTCGAAACAGCGTTGTGTCGTAGTGGTTCAGGAATTATTTGTCTATGGGTTGATGAATCAATAACTTCTTGAAGACAAGCCTTGTTAGATGACCTACCTTCAGGTAAGGACCACCTTATTGTACCCTCAAGAAACCGCGTATGCTTGTGAACAAGAGAACTTGTTATTGTTATGTGATGTTATTCGTATGAAAAGAAATGCTTTTCCTGTTTCAACTGAAACAAAATGAATACTTTTTCAGGAAAAAGAAAAAGAGTGATAGGTATGTCATAAAGGAAGCGAAACCGGTTTTGTTCCCGACGACTTGTGGGCCTTCGAGTTGAGAAAAACGGGAGACTATCATGAGGAAATGGATAACATATCTTCTGAGAACTTGTTTAGGAATATGGCTCCAAAACTTAAAGCGAATTGTGTAAATGATTCAGACAACGCTCCATACCATTCCAGAAAAGCTGAAAAAATTCTCACTCCGCCACAAAAAAACTGTAATTCAAGACTGGGTGCTTTTGAAAAGTATACCATTCAAGTATAACATGGTGATATAATTAATACATTGTTGACTAAATTGCTAAAGCACATAATAGATAGTGAACGAACATTTCTGGATATTGAATATGTGTTTCCCGGAAAACGTGAGGGTTGGTGTCACTCCAATAACGGCAATTTTGTCTGTGAACATTGCGGTTTGAAAAAAAATGTACATTTGTCACTAAAACAAATATTGTGGAAATAGGTAGGATGCCTTGCGATGGTTTCCCTCATGGTTTTGCAGAATTCTGTTCTTCGATCAGGGTCATGTTCAGTTAATTGGAGTACCATTTTAATTTAATATGGATGATACCTATGCCTCTTCGAAAGTATCCACACAGTAAAAGGAGACACCTCACAAACATTCGCGACGGAATAAGTAGATTGTTCAGGATTTACTACTATCTCACCAGTTATTTGCACTTGCTGTTCTTTCGGAATGGACGGATGACCTGGGGGCTTTTTGTTATGTACACTACCGGTAGTTGTGAATTTGAATAGTTCCCTCAAATATTTCCTACAGATTGGACGATTCGGAAAACGTGCATTGAAAATCCTTTTGGTCTCGTGAAGTTACACGTCGCACCGTAAATAAAAATCGCTTCAATTGGAATTGCCATATGGCAGATAAAAAGGAATATTTCTAGAAATATCGATATGAATGTGTTTGTTTTCAGGAAATTATTAAATGTTCTGTCATTTTGTAGTAGGTGAAGATATTGACTTCATATTCTGGGGTTGTGAAGTATTCATCAGGAGCTTCAAAATGATGTGCCACTAGACCCCTCTTTCTACTTAATTTTTTTCCCAGATTGCGCCCAGTCGCCATCTTGAAAGTTTCATCTGTCAATTTCACTTCAAAATAAAGTAATCATGCATTCATTTCATTATTTCAAATACATTTTTTTTTTTGTTAAACCGTAGAAATGCCATGTATAATAAGTATATTGTTGACGGAATTGCTAAAGCACATAATAGAATAATATTACGTCCTCCCCGTTACCACTACGAGCTCAACCCAATTGAGCTCATTCGGGCGGACATAAAAAACCATGTTGCAAAAAAATTCTACTTTTGAATTTTGTGATATTGAACATATTTTTAGTGAAGCTGTTTCGTCCATCACCGTTGAAAAATGGAATAATGGCGTAAGGCATGTAACTAGTTAACTGATTAACTTTTTAATTTATTCGCTAAAACGTCATTTTGAAATCAAAAACTGTGTACCCTGCTGAAATAAAATAACCTAGTTTTTTATAGTTCATTCAATGTTGGTTAAACTCTGAATAATTTTCCTATATCCAACTGAATATTATTAAAAAAATCGATCGAGTAGACCCACTAACTTTTGACCTAGTGCGACTCTGTACAAGCAACCTCGTCTGGGAGATGACGTGCACTATGCATGATAATGTTTTGGAGCACTCCGTTGCTTGGATGGACAGAGTTTAGACTTTGATGTTGTTTCTCATGCTATATATTCTCATTCTATGTATTTTTGTTCAGGCCGAGCCACATTTGAAGATACTCTATTGAAGAAGGCAGGATAGAGAGCTTTTTTATTGTTGATCTTGTCTGAAATTAGACCCTGACATTGTTTCTCAAAATTGTAATATATATGGCAACGTGGTGAATGGTAAATGATTGCCACAAAACAACCATTTCTCTGGCAAAAATCACGCTGAATATTGAATTATATCAGACAGACATTTATGCAAGATACCTCATAGAAGTAAGGTCTCGCAGATGTTTCTCGTTCATCCAGCAGCAGGACCGTACTGAACCTATTCGAGTAGAACACCTACAGTAACTTCAGTACAGGCACTTTTCTGTTTGGGTCGGATATTTCCTGAACTGATGAGAGGTAATACCTCGAAACCGGTCTGAAGGTGATCTACTCGAATAATTTCATCATGGTCCTATAAATCAATATCCAACGGGGTATTAGCCAGGGAAGTAGTTGTTTTCCGGCAGGCATTTTCCAGAACCTACGGTGTAGGTAGTTGAAAGAGATGAATATCTCGAGACTTTTTTTCGAAATATTCATTTTTTAGTACCTACCTAGATGTAAACAATTCTTCTTTGATTAATACGATTACAATAGTCAAATCAAGACAGCTCCAGGAATAGTCAGGAATTACAGGACATCCGAAAGCTAATGAATGTGACGGACACGATCATCAATTCTATATGGATCCTGAACCAGTTGTGGGAGTACCAAAATCTATGGTACTAAACTGAATTTTTTGTTTTTTTTGATTCGTTCAGCTAGACAGTTTCACCAATTTTGCTGTGTTTTCTCATCTCCATAATAGTTTGCTTATTTTTTTGCAGGTTCAAAATTTCATTTTGGAGTTGCTAATATGTTGAATGAAACATAGATGTACACGAAGTATTATAAAAAATCATTTATTTTTCATGTCAAGGACTCATTACGTATATTGGCAATTGATTTTCGATCTAACCTAATTACTTAATATCTAATCATAAATAAATTACTATAAGCGGTTCGGGAAATGATTTTGTTAGCATACAATAAATATCAGAAAATAAATAGTCCAAAACCAAAAACCCAGTTGCGGTATCTAAGTAAGACTACTTAGATAACGCGTTATTCCACAAAGAACCAGAAAATTAGTTCGATGGGGAAAAATCAGTCGAAATTAATTTAACATTATTACAGGACTTTCTCAGGGAAATCGTTCTGAATTTGCTTTCAGCAATAAAAAGATATCCATGAAAAAATCTCATCGAGTGAAAATCATAAATCTAGGGATACGTTCGTGGAATTCATCAAATATCTTTCAATTCCGTTTGCGTTCCAACTGGCATAAATTAACTTAATGTTCGTTTCAGTCTGCATTTTCATTGTTTACCACCCAAAATATGCACTTTTTCTTCGTCTCAGAGAAATGTTCACACTCTCCACAGGCATGTCCCATCTGGAATGTTGAGGTTGGATTTCTGTACAGTCAAGAAGTCTGGATGTTCTCTCGCATCTCCTACTGATCTGCCAATATGCAAAACCTTCTGGACAACGATACATGTACGCTTCCATCCTGCCTCTTGTATTGAATGATCTCGAGCATCTGAGGAAACTGCTACTGCAGGCGGCTGGCGCAAGCTCGAAATATCCTTCAACAGGACATAGAGGTTGTCGATTGCTCACTGGTACCTGAAATGAGAGTTGAACTTAGCGAAAATAGGTGAAAACCCCGAAACTTTAAAATGTTATTGAAAGTCTCGTTAAAAAAAGAAAAAAAAACAATCACAAACCAAAAAATTTACTTTTGTAATTGTGGTGGTGATGAAGGAATTATTCGTCTGATTGTTGAAGAAGACTCATTGAATTAGGTATCGGTTTAAGCAAAAAAATTCAAAAGAAAACAATATTAGATGGTCATCTTTGTAAGTATTCTGGTGTCACCTACTAACAGCATTATAATCGTTACCTAAATATTGTACCCCCTGTAATAACGGCCATTGCGAGAGTAACATAAAATATTATTTTATTCATTGAGATCGCGGCGATCACCCGTTCTTCGGTGTCGATATTTTTCCAGTTGAAAAAGCGCTGAATTACTTTATGACTGTCGAACCTGCGAACGTCGTTGTGGTCATGTTAAAATTCACTTAGACTAAACAACTAAATGTATTGCATCCTGCCGATGATCATACACTTGGGAAGGTTGAAAAAACGCTGATATGAGGTTTTTGTGGATAGCGTAGCTGACGCGAGGGCTTGGGAGTTGCTTGGCAGAGACAGAGAAGAGGTCGGTCATCGGATCTCGTCGAGACGAGATCGGGGGTCTCATCCCTCAGCCTTTGAGGCTGAGGGAGGTGGCCTAAATAGGGGAGATATTTTGTTTGTAAGCGCGTGGGGTGAAATTTAAGTAAAAATGTTAGTGAAATCTTAAGCCGGTATGGGGTACAGGGGAGTTTAAATTAAAAGTGTTGGTGTAGAAGACACACCGGGTCAACGAAACCTATGGTTGACCACTACCAGTTTATCCTCTTCAAAATCTCACTTGAATTAATTTTTAAACAGTATGAAATGGATCATTTCATTGGTGAGCTCATTTTTTGAATCTATTCTTCTCAAATTAGCATAATTTTTACATAAAACTAAGTAATATGGGGCTTTAACAGTTACACTGTATAGCTCGCATTTGCTTTGAGAATAGCTACTAAGTGTATGGGGTGGTTCATTATTTTTTTCGAGGCCCATAGCATTCGCTGCCTCCTACTCCATTGCTAATCCGGTACTGATAACAATAAAACATTGTGTCTCACATCAAATTTCCATTAGCAGTTCTTGAAGAAGAAGATATCAAAAAAAGTTTATCTCAAAACTTTTATATATCAAAGCATTCAGCGTTTTTGAATTATTCACCAATAAAATGGTTAACGCTTTCGCGGCCAAGATTCCGAGTTTGAAGGCCGTGAATTTTTGGAATTTCTTCCTGACGTTTCGCTGGCGCGAGTGGCTAGCTTTCTCAGAGGTTATTACATCCTGAATTATTATTTCTGATAATTGGATATTACGGCTGCGTAACACGTGTTTATGTTGACTCTACAGGTAGTTTGGTGTACCTGTATCTGGCTTAGGTGAATTACGTAAAGCCTGTTTATATTAGATTAGATTGTCGAGAGCTGGCCCCTGGCCTGATTCACTGCGACCGTTTTAGATCTATTGTGATGCTCCTTGGTTGTCAGAGATCATTGATCTCTTTGATGAAACTCTATAGCCTTGACACTGACCCCTTCATATAGCTTGTTTCTGGTTTCTCTTCCCCGCATCTTGCGTATCACTTCGCATTCACAGAGCACATACAGTGCGGTTTCTTCCTCTTCTTCTGCATTGGTTTCCTTCTGTTAGACCCATGTTGCTCATATGTTTCCTGAGTCGACTATGCCCCGTTAGTAGACCCACCACTACCCTTACAACATTACTTTTGTGGTTTGGCAGGTCTTCCGTGAATCTGGAGGATGGTTTCTTTATAAACTCTTTCGTCTGCGTCATTCCTGGGAGCTTATTTCACCAATCTATCAATTCGGCTTGCATCCATGAGTTTATGGATGTCTATATACATGCTTTCGCTATCCCGCAGAAGGGTTCTGGGACGATCATAGTCTTGGATGCGCCCTCACGGGCTAGAACATTGGCCTCCTCATTGCCCTTCTGACCCTCATGTCCAGGTACCCAAACTAGAGTGACCCTATTTTAGGAACTTAGTACGCTTGATGCGCTGAGTGCGCTCAGACAGCTTCACACCAGTCTTGAGAAGACTTGAAATGAGCTGAGCATCTTAATTGCCGCCTGGCTGTCGGAGAAAATGGCAATGGTTTTATTTGTCAACTTCTGCCTGTTTATATCCCCTATACAGTGTTCGATGGTCGTTACTTCTGCCTGGAACACAGTTACATTATGTTCGAGGCTGAATGCGATTCTCGTCTTTGCTCTGCCTCCGTATATACCAGCTCCCACTCCTTCTTGGGTGTTTGAGCCATCTGTATACCAAGTTTCTTCCACTTTTACCGGTGAGACATTTTGCCAGTCCTCTCTACTTGGTATGATGATTTTGAAATCTTTTTTGAAGTTGTATTGCGGAACTGTGTTATCTGCCGGCATTCCTAGTATTGGATCTGTCTTCAGTTCATCGAACAGTTTCAAGTATTCTGCACTGTGTGACTGGCTGATTGGGGTTTGCCCCTGCATTAGCCTGTGTGTCACCATTCGAGTTTCTCTTTGTATGTAGATGTGCGATGGTGGAAGTCCGAGTAGAACCTCAAGTGCTGCATTTGGGGTCATTCTCATGGCTTCCGCGACACTTAGGCACGTCAGCCTTTGTATGCCGCCTAATAACCTAGCCGTACTCGATTCAGTTAGCCTGGTGGGATAATACCTGTACCTGGATTTGGTAAATTTTTAATAACGTTCGTTGACCCTTTTCTACCTGCCGTCATCATGTTTTCTGTTCTTGGACTTCTCAGATCGGGATTCCATATCCGATTGAGGTTGACAGCTTTTCCTTTTCTGTTGAAATTATATGTGTGTTTGTGGATTTCTATTGCCTCCCGTACCATTCGGCTATGGTATCCCTGGTCGGGGGCAATGAGTTCCGTGTTTGCAAACAAAATCATGTGGTTTCCTTCACTGAGTGCGTGTTCTGCCAGAGCTGACTTGTCTATTTGGCCTAGTCTGCAGTTTCTTTCATGCTTCTTCAGTCTTGTTTCCATGGATCTTTTGGTGGTTCCGATGTATACTTTCACACAAGTGCAGCGTATGCGATAAAACCCTGCTGCTGATAGTGGATCCCTTTTGTCTAGCGACCTGAGGCTTTGTTGAATTTTCTTGGTGGATTGGAAAACCGTTTTGATGTTGTGTTTTCCCAAGAGTTTTCCAATTCTGTGTGTGACCATACAGATAAAAGGTTGATGAGCGCGTGCAACCATCCGAGCCTTCTCCCCATTTTGAGCCGTAGAATTCTTCAGTTTCATGGCTTTGTTGATCTCTGGTACACTGTAACTATTCGATCTCAAGGTCACTGGAAGGTGTTCCAGATGCTCCGGTCCACATATGCCATCAGCCCGTTCCGTTAGGGTGGAGATGACTCCTCCAGGATGGTGTTTCGATAGTGCAGGCAGGTACCTATCCGTGTGCGTGGGTTTTCGATACACTTTGTGGGTTAGTCTAGCACCACATCCTTCGATTAGTACATCTGAGAATGCTATCCGCTGCTTCTGTTCAGTCTCCATGGTGACTTCAGTCTTCATGGTATATGATGATCGGATGTTGAGCTTTCAAGTGGTCTAGGGAAAGGTTCAGAGCATCTCTTCCAAATACATGATATTGAGGAGGAGCGTGGCTCCTCCTTCTCCTCCTGATTTCACCAAGATCTTGTTTTTCTAATACTGGGTGAATGAAAAATTCAATACTTTCAGCTATGGTATACGAAAAACGGCCACCGGAATAATGAAATAATGCGGAATTATTATAAAGGTAATAATTGCAATAATTTATCTAATGATAATCAAATTGACTAAACCCCTTATGAATATGAAGAGGAATTGGATTTTCCCCCTTTTGATAGTTCTTGGTTGTTAAGTCTACCAGTAAGATGAATACATAAAATAGAATTTTGGATACTTTCTGGAACCAAAATTTCTAGAGTGAACATTTTTAATATCATTCTCCCAGATCGGAAAAAAACCCAGACATTGAGTATACCAGATCAAAATTTTTCTAAAGACGGATTCCTTCTGAAAGGTGATAAAACGTGTTAAACGTTAAATATTTACAATTATACAACAATGTGAAGAAAATTTCACTGAAGTACAGTTTAGTATTGTTTTATCTATATCAGTTCTCGAATGTTCATGGGAATATACTTATCAATTTATCAGTTTGTTGACTGGACTCTAGTCGATAACGGAATGTTTTATTAATTTTCACTGATGATGAAGTAAATCTGATAAACTGGTTGTGTGGTGGAACAATGGAAAACAGTATGTGTTAAATACAAATTCTATTTTCTGACTACAAGAAAACAAAGTGATCAAACCGTTTAGTGTTGGAGGAGTAGGTTAGATTAGGTTTTGCTTTGGAAAGGGAATACAAATACCAAAATTTGTATTAATAAAAAATGAATGATAATGAGTTATTTTTAAATATCTTGAATATTCAGCAAAATAATTGTTGTTTATACGGAATATTTTGGTTTCATATGATTATATTTAGCCTAAGAATTAAAAGGATCCTCATCCATTCTTATGAGCCATTCAATATAATTTCTGATCTCAACTTTATATTTTTATTTTCATTTTTTCAATATGTTAAGACAACGATAAAAATAAAATAAATACAAAAATAAAAATTAATTGGCGCTCCGAGGCGACTTCATTTTTATTTCTTTATTTTTTGTTGAATCGTTCTATTTTTACTTGTATTTTATTTCACTATTATTTCATTTCAGGTTATTTTTGCTTAATATAATTGTTATTTTCAGCTATTCATTTTTAATTTTTCTTTTTTAGTTGTTTCAGGGATTTCAAATCATTTTATATATCAGACAATGGAAGTCCGAACTAGTGAAAATCATTTCTAATCAGTTACATCAGAATGAATTATTTCGATATTTGAATATTTTGCTATAGTTTTTACATGACATTCTATCAGGTTCTAGTTTCAATGAAATGAAATTGCAATAAAAATGATATTTAGAAAAATTCGAGAACTGAAATGGTACTACAAGTACTTACTGGAGGCATCGAATTGATATCCAACATCTTATATAGACTGCTACTTGCTATTTCTCCTTGACAGGTCTGAGTTTCATGTGGTGGAAGACACTGAATTTTATCATTATCATAAACGAGCCCTTCCGGACAGCTCAGGACTAATATTTTATAGTCGTGGCTATTATTTCCTTTTGTGCATTGATAAAATAGGTTACAGTACTTTGGATGTCTTCTGAATCCAGTTGGACAAACTAATGCAACCTGATCACCTTCTAATTGAGCAATTGGGCATGGTTCCATGGAAGAGTTAGCAGTAGTACTACCGGTCGTAATTGCGGTGTTTTCAGTAGTTAATCCCTCTTCTGTGGTAGAGGTGACAGAACCGGAAAGAGTATTACCTTCCGGAGTGACCTCGAAGGAAGACGTAGTACTTTCAGAAAATGTGCTACTTTCCGTAAACGAGCTATTCGTACTGACCACTGTAGGAGTTCCGGTATTTCCTATGGTGACATCCGTACTTTCGAATGAGACTGAGCTTGATTCTGTTGAATAAGTGGAGCTGTCAGTGGATAACGTGGAAAATGTACTTGTGAGAGAAGAAGGATTACTTTCAGTAGAAAAAGTACTCTTGTCAGTGGAAGTTGTGCTTGTTTCTGTGACGAGTGTACTAGCGTCTACAAAAAGTGTGCTACTTCCCGTGGAAAGTGTACTACTTTCTGTGAACGATGCAGTACTTCCAGAGGAAAGTGTGGTACTTTCAGAGAAGGGCTGTGATTCAGCATTGTTGATTTCTGTTGTAGAATGAAGAGTAGTACTCTCGGTAGATGAACTTAAATCTGTTGAAAGAGTGCTGATAGAACTTTCGGTGGTTACACTCAATGTAGAAGAAATAGTGCTGCCTGTTATTTCAGATGATATAGGAGTAGTAGTTTTGCTCTCTGTCGTACTGGCAACATCAGTGCCGCTGATGTCGACAGTACTACTAACAGTTTCGGTAGTGCTGCTAATGTCTGTACCATCACCGATGTTATCTGTAGTACTACCACTTAGGTATGTGGTGCTGCTGATTTCTGTGGTGCCAGCGCTGACGGTTGTGGTGCTGCTTATATCAGTAGTACTTCCCCCAATGTCTGTGGTACTGCTAATATCTGTAGTACTGCTGCCATCTACTATATTTTCGTTCTGTGAAACGAAAAATGTTGATAAGTTTGAAACTTGACAATAATTAACCTTATAATAATAATACCTACCGAACTTGTGGTTTCATTATCAAGATTAACATTGGCACATTTTCCAGAAACAGCCCAAGGGTAGTTACAGGTGACAGCATCAGCATCCCAGATGGTACCTTTACCACATGAAAATTCATATCGGGTATAACCGTTGTTACTATTACTGACACATCTGTAAAATTTAGAACAATTTTGAGAGTCAGACATGAATCCATTCGCGGAACATTGTGGAGGTGATGTTGAACTATTTTGGTGCAACGATGAATTTGTTGATTGTGCTGAATGAGATGGTGATGATGGTGCAGTGATTTCTTTACAGTTATTGCGGTTTGAATCTTTGCGATAATTGCAGGTGACTAATGAGATATCCCAAATGGTCCCAGGCCCACAAATGAAACTGAATTTTGTGAAACCATTCGAACCGTTAGCAACGCACCTGTAAAATCTTTTGCAATCATTAGGATCGCCGAGATATCCTTCTTTTGAACAGTCGATTCCAATTTCGCTAGATACGTTGGATGAATTCCACGATGATCCCTTGAAATTTTAGTTTAGTTTAGTTTTTGGTTTAATGACTGGGAAATATTAACGTACCTGTTGATTATTGTTTGTTTGACTGTTTTGTTGGTTCGAATGTGTTTGATTATTTTGTTGATTATTACTACTCTGATTGTTATTTTCTTGGTTGCTAGTCTGTTGATTACTTTCCTCATTATTGTTTTGTTGACCTTGTATGGAAGAACACTTTCCAGACACTGCCCAAGGATGGTTACAAGATAATGCAGTTTGATCCCAAACTGTTCCTATCCCACAGGTATATTCGTACTTTTGGAACCCAGTTTTTTCATCACCAATACATCTATAAAACTTCGTACAATCATTTTCGTTTCCTACATATCCTTCTTTAGAACATTTTCCACCTTCTAGAGCACCCTGCTCATTACTATTTATATTGTTTTGATTACTTTGTTGGTTAGTACTTCCTTCTTGGGAAGAATTTTCTTGATTCTGCTGGGAATTATTTTGTTGATTACTGTTGTTATTTGACTGACTGTTATTAACGGACTGATTGTTTTCACTGAACTGATTACTATTGCTGTCTTGGTTATTATTGATACTACTCTGATTGATGGTCTCATGATTATTATTTCCTTGATTTGAATTACTTCCCTGGGTATTTACATTTTGATTTGACTCTTGATTAGGAGTTTGTTGACCGTTGCCAGGGTTAGAAGAACATTTTCCAGATATAGCCCAAGGATGATTACACGACAACATGTTTTGATCCCAAACTGTACCGGGTCCACAGGTGTATTCATATTTATGAAATCCATCTTTGTCTAATACGCACCTATAAAATTTTTCACATTTTTCTGAATCTCCAACAAAACCTTCTTTAGAGCATTTATCACCGCTCAGTGACCCCTGTTGAGGAGTATTTTGATTATTGTTCCCTTGGTTATTAGTTTGTTGATTGCTACTTCCTTGTTGATTATTATCATTTATTTGTTGACTACCTTGATTATTTTGTCCATTGTTTTGTTGATTCAGCTGGTTATTTTGACTACTATTCTGGTTGTTGTTACTTCCTTGTTGGTTGTTGGATCCTTGTTGATTGTTTGTTTGCTGATTACCCTGATTATTTTGACCGTTATTTTCTTGATTCTGCTGGTTATTTTGACCAGCATTTTGCTGATTATTATTTCCCTGTTGATTACTCTCTTGATTCTGCTGGTTACTTTGATTACTATTCTGGTTGTTATTGCTTTCCTGTTGGCTGTTGGAACCTTGTTGATTATTTGTTTGCTGGTTACCTTGATTATTTTGGCCGTTATTTTCTTGATTCTGTTGGTTATTTTGACTTCCATTTTGCTGATTATTATTTCCTTGTTGATTATTGGATCCTTGTTGATTATTTGTTTGCTGATTTCCTTGATTATTTTGGCCATTATTTTCTTGATTCTGCTGGTTACTTTGACTATTATTCTGGTTATTGTTGCTTCCTTGTTGGTTGTTAGATCCTTGTTGATTATTTGTTTGCTGACTACCCTGATTATTTTGGCTATTATTTTCTTGATTCTGCTGGTTATTTTGACTTCCAATTTGCTGATTATCATTTCCTTGTTGATTATTAGATCCTTGTTGAGTATTTGTCTGCTGGCTGTCTTGATTATTTTGTCCATTATTTTGTTGATTATTTTGACCTCCATTTTGTTCGTTATTTCCCTGTCCGTTATTCGAAGATTCGGATACATTTGTTTTTTGTGGCGCATAACATTTTCCTGAAACGGCCCAAGCATGGTTGCAAGAGAGCAGAGTTTGATCCCAGACTGTATTAGGACCACATACGTATTCATATTTAATAAATCCACCTCTGCCATCTACTACACACCTGTAAAATATGGAACAATTCCTTTCGTTACCAATAAATCCTTCTGAAAAACAGGAACTGCTTTGTTCGTTTTGCTGGCCCTGTTGAATATTCTGTTGGTTGTTTTGTTGGCCATCCTGTTGGTTCTGTTCACTATTTTGTTCCGCATTAGTTTGTTGATTTTGTTGGTTATTCTGATGTGTATTTTGATTATTTCCGCCCCCTCCTTGTTGACTTTGTTGATTATTTTGTCCGGAATTTTGTTGGTTTTGTTGGTTATTTTGCTGCCCATTTTGCAAATTTTGTTGATTATTTGTTCCACTTCCTTGCTGATTCTGTTGGTTATTCTGCCCGTTGCTTTGCTGATTTTGTGAATTATTCTCTCCACTTTCTTGTTGATTTTGTTGATTTGAGTTTTGATGATCATTGTTTCCATCAGAATTCTGCTGATTTGTGTTCTGTATTGTGCCACATTTACCACCTACTGTGTGGGGATAGTTACAAGAAAACAATGTTTCATCCCATACAGTTCCATCGCCACACTTGAACTCATATTTTACGAATCCACCCAAACCATTATTGACACATCTGTAGAATTTCTGACAATTATTATTATCTCCAACGAATCCTTCAGATACACAAACATTGTTCACAATTTGTCCTGAAGTTATATTAGAATTGTTCTGCTGATTGGAGGTTTGCTGATTGGCACTTTGATTACCACTTTGTTGATTTTGTTGATTGGTATTCTGTTGATTGGAACTTTGTTGATTATTACTCTGATTATTTTGTTGATTATTACTTTGGTTGTTAGTTTGTTGATTGGAGTTTTGTTGACTGTTACTCTGATTATTATTTTGTTGATTTTGCTGGTTTTGTGAGTTTGTTCCTTGCTCATTCTGACTTTGAGAACTACCTTGCTGGTTTTGTTGTGTTGATTCTTGATTATTCTGTGAATTTGATCCTTGCTGACTGGGTGGTGTTGGTTTATTTTGGTTATTGGAACACCTACCTGTTATTGCAGATGGGTAATTGCAAGATGATGAACCAATATCCCAAACTGTTCCATCGGCACATGAAAATTCATATTTCGTGAATCCGCCTTTTCCATCATCAACACATCTGTGAAATTTCTTACAATCTTTATCATCTGGAACAAATCCCTCTGATACACATTTGCCATTTATGATTGTACCCGTACTAGATTGATTCGTTTGGTTATTGCTTTGCTGACTCTGTTGGTTCTGTTCCCCACTTTGCTGATTATTTTGTCCACTATTTTGTTGATTATTCTGTCCACCACTTTGTTGGTTATTCTGTGTTCCAGATAGCTGATTCTGTTGGTTCTGACCTACACTTTGTTGATTATTGTCTCCATATCCTTGCTGACTGCTGGTCTGTTGATTCTGTTGATTATTCTGACTTGTACTTTGTTGATTCTGTTGATTATTATTTCCATTTCCTTGTTGATTGCCAGTCTGCTGATTTTGTTGGTTATTTTGACCTATACTCTGCTGATTCTGTTGATTATTTTCTACGTTGCCTTGTTGATTGCTAGCTTGTTGGTTCTGTTGGTTATTTTGCCCAGAGCTCTGCTGATTCTGTTCATTATTTTGTCCGTTACCTTGTTGTGTCTGTTGTTGATTCTGTTCAGTGTTTCCAGAACTTTGTACTTTACTGCAATTTCCACTAACGGCACTGGGATAATTACAAGTTAGGGCACTTTGATCCCAAACTGTTCCGGGTGTGCACGTGAATTCATATCTGTCGAATCCACGTCCATTATTCACACACCTATAAAATTTACTACAGTTCCTGTCATCAGCCATAAATCCATCGACGGTGCATAGGGGTCCCTGTGGTGTATTAGAAGAGTTGGAATTTGATAAACCCTCCTGATTTTCCGTAGATCCGGATGAACTCTGTTGTTGGTTTTGCTGATTTTGATTAGAACTTTGACTGGAGCCTGTAGAACTTTGTTGATTTTGCTGATTTTGGTTGAAACCTTGTTGACCTGAAGAATTTTGTTGGTTTTGATTGGAACCTTGCTGATTAGAGCTTGATGAACTTTGTTGATTCTGCTGATTTTGGTTAGAACCTTGCTGATTGGAGCCTGAAGAATTTTGTTGGTTTTGCTGATTTTGATTATTTGAAGAACCTTGCTGACTTTGCTGATTTCCATTGGACCCCGAAGAATTCTGTTGGTTTTGTTGATTTTGATTGGCACTTTGTTGATTGGAATTTGAATTCTGTTCATTTGTGTTCGAACCTGTGGAACCTTGTTGATTTTGTTGATTCTGATTGGAGCTTGAAGAACTTTGTTGGTTTTGCTGATTCTGATTGGAGCCTTGTTGATTTGAATTTGAAGACCCCTGCGAAGACCCTTGTTGATTCTGTTGATTTTGATTCGAGCTGGAAGAACTTTGTTGATTTTGACCAGAACTTGAAGAACTTCCATTGGAACTCGAAGAACTTCCACCGGAACTTGAAGAACTCTGTTGATTCTGCTGATTCTGATTAGAAGTTGAGGAACTCTGCTGATTTTGTTGATTTTGATTAGACCCCAAAGAATTCTGTTGATTCTGCTGATTCTGATTAGAGTTTGATGAACTTTGCTGGTTCTGTTGATTTTGATTGAATCCCGAAGAGCCCTGTTGATTCTGCTGATTTTGACTGGAACCTTGTTGGTTGGAACTAGAGGATCCCTGTTGGTTCTGTTGATTCTGATTGGATCCTGAAGAGCTTTGCTGATTAGATCCAGAATTTTGCTGGTTTTGACCAGATGAATTTGAACTACTTGAACCAGAACTTTGTTGATTCTGATTGGAACCTTGTTGGCCTGAAGAACTAGTAGAAGATGATTGTGTACCTGTAGAAGATGATAATTATTTAATAAACTTGAGTTAAATTTTATTGGAAACAACTACCATTCGAAAAAGAATTATTGATATTACTACTATTGCTGCTGCTACTACTACTAGTGCTGCTACTACTACTGTTACTACTACTACTGCTACTGAAACTGCTGCTACTGCTGTTATTATTACTGTTGTTGTTGCTACTACTGCTGTTGCTATTACTAAAACCACTACTAGAGCCTTGAGAACTGCTATGCGAAGAAGAGTTCGATGGAGTGGAACTACTGTTAACTGCATTCCTAGATAAAGCTGTTTCTTGGGTACCTTGTTCTGACGGGCAATTAGTTCTATTGGCAGCCCATGGATAGTTACACGATAAGGCAGCTGGATCCCAAACAGTTCCTGTACCGCAAGTGAATTCGAACTTCGTGAAGCCACCTTGTGAATTTTGTGTGCATCTGTAGAATCTCTTACAATTGGCAGGGTCTCCTAGAAAACCATCCTGGGTGCAGATATTTCCTATTTGACTAGAAATTGTTGTTGAAGGAGCAGGTGTCGTCGTAGACGTAGAAGAAGGAATTACAGTCTGTTCGTTATTACTTGTGGAATCATTCTGGTTCTGAGTAGATTCTTGCGATTCCTCAATTCGATTCCCACCACATTCTTCTCTAGAACTGGCATAAGCGTAATTACAATTACTTATCGCTGGATCGAATACTGTTCCATCTCCGCATTTGAAACTGATAGCTTTGAGATTATTGTTTCCATCTGACAGACATCGGTAAAAAGCTTTGCAATCCTGGGGGTCTGGATGAAATCCCTCACTTGGACATTTGAAATTCGAACTATATTCCAATATTTCCCTTGTTAGTTGAGGTAAAAATTCTGTAAGAGAAAAAAACCAATTAGTGAAACTGCTAAATAAGAAACACTGATTGGGGGCTTATGATTTCAATGTCTCATTAAAATTTGACAGGATTATAACCTTCATCGAAATCATTTCATGATGGAAGATGTATACATTTCAATATAACCTATGGAACTAGATGAAGATGATCACAAATATCGAATTTCAGTAAACGAAAGTTATTAAATCATGAATCAGATTCGTTATTGAAACCGAACTGCCACTGAAAGAAAAGTAAACTAATTGAATGTGATTATTACAACTGAGCGTAAGCGTTTGCTGGAGGATTTTGTTCCCACTTCTGCTGATTTTGTTTCCGCTGCTTTTCAGGTTTATTGTGATTTTGCTGTTGATCTGGATGGATTATAAGCTGGGGTCATTTAGATTCAGACTTAGATTCTTTGGTTACTTAATGGTCCATAAAAGGACCCACGAGTAGCTAGGGGAATGAGATCTATCATGGCAGAGCCATCCAGTACTATGACAAGGAAAACAGCACAGCAACGAGAGTAATATCACTCACTAGGCGATGTCAGGTAGAATCTACCATTTTATTTTATCTGTAGTATTTTTAGCAAACAGACAACTAGATTAAGGAAGCTTTGCAACTCGGTTACATTATAAATGCAATAGATTGAGTGAGACTGACAAACTTGTAACATTCAACAAAAAATTTTGTCACCCACATTCAGGCACATGCTGAATATATATTGGAGTCTGCTGCAAGGAAACAAGAATATACCATGAATTTAATGGAATTTATATTCCATTGAATTAAAATTTATGTACATAGAACAAAGCTCTACATCCAGCAGACATAATTAACAGAAAATGTTCATGTGGTGAGTGGTGAATTACTAAATGTAAGAGAAATCCAGGTAGAAGTTACACTTCTGACATATTGACATTGGATGAGATTAACTGTTGAGAGAAATGGGAAGAAACTATTATTGAGTCATCAATGGTTACTGAGAATATGTATAAATCTTTTGGAAAAAAATAAGAATAACTTCGTGGATCGAATATGTGAAACAACGTTAACATATTACGTTCAAAAAAATTATAATTTCTTATTGTTCGTTTGAATTGTTGAGAAGATAATGATAATCCCTGAATATGTGAAGTAAAACTACAGTTTGTTTCATAATTCTGAATTGAGACTAGTGCAGTTTTACCTAACTTCACAGTTAATTTACACAGAGATGAAAAATATTTTCAAGTTAAGAACTATACGGAGAAGATCGGCTTGTTTTCAATAGTTATGACTCAATATCGATTTATTTATGCTCCAAAAAGTAAGCGATTAAATAAAGGATAAAGAAAATAACCTTTGTCTGATTAAGGTTGTCATTTGTTACGACCGGTTTCGGTTTGTTAAACTATTTTCAAGTAAACTGGTTCAACAAATAAACAGGTTTGCTAAATCGGTTTGTTTTCCTATATTTTATATGGAATTCTACAAAATGAAAAGGTCATCAATCGAACAAGATATAAATGTCCATCAGCAAATTCCTGTTNAGCAACAACCAAGAGAATGAAAAAATGAAAAAAATGAATTATTAATACGATCTGAAAATGAAAAATATATTATTGACAAGAAATGAAAATTAAAAATATAAAATTAAAAGATTCCAAACCAAGTTACTTCATGACGTTTCGATTGTTAGTATACACAATCGTCTTCGGGTGTATGTTATTTCATTGTAATTTCAGTTCTTTGCTTAATAACATTGTTTTTTCGGCTAACCTTTTTTTAATTCTTTTACAGATTCTTTCAGAGATTTCAAATCAATTTATATTATATTAGACAATGGAAGTCAGAACTGATGAAATGGAAGTCGGTAGTTAGTTCAAATGAATTGAAGATGAATTTCCACAAAATAAATAAGTCATAAATGTCACAAGGTAGTTAGTTTATTTCATGTTTTGATTTAATGGGTTGGCAATTTCAATTAGTTTTTACCTAAACTCAGATAAAAGTGAGTAAGTGAGTGGAAGGTGGTATGATTCAATAAATTGATGGATGTAGCCTACGTGATCCTACGTGGTAGGACATCATCATGAAAAATGATAATTGAAACTGTTTTTTAATACTTTTATTTGTAACTAACGTTACTAACGCTACTTTTATTTGTAACTAACGTTACTATAGTTTCGTTCTATAAGGATATTTTCAAACTTATGCATTAAACTTAATGTATAAGTTAAGTAAACTTATACATACGTATAAGACAAAACTGCAGTAACATGTTACAAATAAACATGGTAACATTAAATTTAATATATAAGTTTGAGAATGTCCTTATGGGACGAAACTGCAGTAACGTTAGTTACAAATAAAAGTGGTTTCGATTCTCAATTTTCATGATATGATTCAAATTGTTATTATATAAAGCACAGATTATGCATACCCATTCAATGAGTTGGTAAAATTTTCTTTCATGATGTTTTGAAAATTCTCAATCAGTTTTTACTCAACGGCCGGTAAAATTATTAGTCATTATCTAGGTAGAAAGTCACATGATTAAAATTGTTAAATTTGTTAAAATTTGTTGAATAAAGCATAAATTTACTAGAATCTAGACGACAGTGACCTGTAAGGAGGCCCTTTAGACATCGTAGTCCAACAATTGTTTGGTTTCAAGCTTCGAAGGGTGAATTAACGCCTTTTAGTGAGCCAATCCTGAAAGATTTTGCCAGAAATCTTCAAATTTTTTTGTCATCCAGGTGTTCAATGTTTGTTTGGCAAAACTTAAAGCAATGCCAATGGCAGGTTCTGGTCCGATGAAGCTTCTTGCAGCACCCTCCTTTGCAAGGGAGTCATCAGCCTCATTGTCTTCCAGGCCAGTATGGCCAGGAATCCAGGCCAGAGAGAATCTGTTAAGTATTTCTATTGAGGAGAGTCATTTTGGCAATTTGACTGTCCGACAAGATTTACTAGAATTTAGTATGAAAACGCTTGAGGAAGCAACTGTTCAGCGAAACACGTGTTGCGGTTTTGTAAAGTGTTACTTGAATAAGTTATGGATTTTCAACAAGTATCGGCTAATTTTATTACATATATTGCTATTTATAGCTTTTCTAAACTCCAACAAATTGATTGACTAACATTTTTTACATCTAAAACAATTCCATTAGATCAACTACCTTAATACAGCTCTACTCAACATTAAGAAAAATGTGATTCACTCATTTAGAAGTATATAACTCAAGGTTCTCATCAAATGTCTTCCACGAGTTATAAATCTTATTTATAGGCACTCATATTCAGTGAAAAAAATCAGTAAACAAGCTCCCTTGTAATGTGCTTATAAGTGATCAATATATCTTGATATATCATGAAACATGAAAGCTCGCCTCTAAGAAGCTTTATCTCAGCGATGACTTACATACCGTATGAAAATTTATGAATTATTTATACATGTACCTGTCATATTATGCAATTATCAATGTACCAAACCAAACCCGTTGGGGGAAAGTGAGTCTAAGAGAATGTACAATTATGTAGGTAATGGGTATATTAAGTTCCACTTTTAGAGGAAATATTCAAACACTACATACACTTCGACTGCAAATGTTATAATCAACAAAGATTCGTGCTTCATTACTTTTAGAGAGTGAAATCGAAAATTCTTTCGTTTTTAAGTATGAAATAGCAAACGACTGCAAATGACAATACAACAACATTTCGTTAATATTTCATGCTCAAATGGAGTTTTATGAAAAGTATGTTGTTTTAATGAGGATAATATGAAAGAACAGCTTTCGAGTTTGAAAAACAAGTTGGAAATCATTCAGTAGTGCATTTAGATTGTAATCAGTTGTTAAGTATTTCCAAATACTCAAAGTCTCTTGAAGATAATCCTAATCTATTGAAACCTCAGTATTCTGAAACTTCTTTTTCTGGTTAATTAGATTAATAATTTCCCAAATCTTCGAAGTCATAGAAATTTAGTTCTAATTCTTCAAGGAATTCACCTTTTTTAAAAATCAGAGCTTGGTATTCCAAAGGAATTGTTCTCAGGTTTCGGCAGTATAGCTGTCCTGACACTCCATTCCAATGACTTCTTAGGTAATTAGGCTCCCAACGTCAAAATTCGTTTTTAATGTTGGATTTTTGAGAGTCCAATGAAAACTATTGGATAGGAAAGCGACAACTTTGTCATTGCCTTTGATTCCACGTGCCGTGAATTTCTTCTGCTAGTTATTCCATGCCGGAATATGAAGCTTTTAGTGTTTCTGTCTGACGAAACATATTTTTGTGCATTGGTTATCAATCTCTTTCGATGCGAAGCTGAATATAAATAAATTCTGACAGAAAACGAATATAACACTACGTTTGTGCATTGTGTAGCTAGCAAAGTATTTATGAATAATTGTTCTAATATGTGTGATGTGTGTGTTGTTTTTTTATACTTGATAATGGGGTCAAACTGGTCATATAAATAAAATCTACCAGTAGAGTTAAGACGAAAGTGTTTTTATTCATTTCATTCAAAGAATTGTCCTACATGTTTGTTCACTACAAGGTAGTACGAAATTATATTAGGGTACTTGCAAGTTGAAAGTGTTATGCTACTCGTACCTGTTTGCACTTCGAATTTGAGCGGTTGAAAAAATGCAGTTTGAATTTTTATCGATGATGTGTTGGTGTTAAATTTTGATTGAACGTCAATCGATAATACTTTGTTTGATGCTTTGATATTACAGAAAGCAGGCATTGGTTCATATAGAATAGACCAATTTACAGATGACATGCCAACGATAGCGGCATTAATCTAATCGTGTCGTGTCATTTAAAGATCGATTTGTGTAGAAGGACTCATTTATTTCGTTATGAAAATATCAAAATTTGAAAGTTCAAATGTTCATCCACCGTCATCATTCGATGTGTGAATAAGTAGCCTAAGTGTAGAGTTATGAACATTTCATTTATAGATATTCTTGATAATGACATAAACACTGATAGACATCCGAA